CTGTAAATTCCAGATTTTATGAGTAATTTTTATGAACGATTTAGGAGGTGGTCCCCATCTTGAGTTTGTCAATTTGGGTGTCTTCAATCACGTGGTTGGATAAATAAAATAAGTCGTGAAAGTTCAAGGGTTTCTGCGTTCAGTCAATCTACGCAGAGTGAATCGGTTCCTAAGGAAACCCCGAAAGGCGGTGCCGATGGGTAGTAGGTGACCACAAAATGACTTGTCACTGTAAAACTATAAGGAATCATGCCAATAAAAATACAAAATAACAAGATTTATCGACAAGTTTTAATTTTTGATACACGCATTTTACTTATCTTAGTTTTTTTTCATCAAATCGCAATTGCGGGTAACGAGAATCGAACCCATATCCCCTGCTTGGAAGGCAGACAATTTAGTTGGGTTACTTTTCCTGTTGGCCCTCATGTGGTAGAGTGACAAAAATTAAAAATGTGAGGAATCATCGCGATATTTATTCACAGTCCAATTTGTTTTAAATTACGTTTTTTAATATTTATCCATGAAAGATCGCAATCTAATCTACAAGATCTCGATTTAAAAAAAAAAATCGTCAATTCTTCTAAGCGCAAAAAAATGTTAAAGTTTGTGCTTAAAAATTGTGGGATTGGGCCCGCCTGCACCTGCTGGTTGTCATCCCCCCTAAGAATCCGGTCCCTAAGGCTAGGAAGACCGAATTTAGGTCACGGGGGGAGTGGTGGTTTAAGAACATGGGAGTCATCACAAATGTTCACATATGAGTAGGTGACCCTCACTGTAATGCTTAGTTTGGTTCGTCAATTTATCATAGAAATTAGGGAGACAAAAAAACAACTCATCTATGTGTTTGTATAGTCTTGAACGAATGATAACACAATGTAACGCATAAAACCATTGGGCTTTACTGTCGAAGTACATGATTTTATGCCACCACGCCAAACTGCAGAATACCACCCTTCTGCTCAGTACTACTCAGGTAGTGCAGCGCAACTGCGCTCAATCCTTTACTTATACTGATCTATCCTAGCTCTTCTCCATGCAAAAGAAAGAAACTACCAGCCTCCACGTCGTGGCGGCGTGCAAAATTTACCGTTCCAATTTTTTTTTCATATCCAACAAAATCTTACTTGCTAAAAAAAATCCTACGTCTAGGAGTGTCGGGATGTATTATTCTCGCATTCCGTCCACATTAGGCTCTTTTCGATATTTCGGGATAGCGACTTTGTTGCGGTTATACCTGTGAGTCTTTCTGAGACCTCTACGTTTCCGGCTTACCTCCTTTTTACTGCGCTCGTAGTACCGTTGATGCCTCCCGTTTTGCTGTGACTTCCTTTTTCGTGGTTCTGCTTCACTGCTGGTAAAATCCTGCCGCCGTGCTTCTTCTGCGCTGTGTCAGTTACCGTTCAGTTAAGTATGAATTCAGTCTGAGCCCAGTATGAGTTTAGTCTGAACTTCCAGCTCTTCAGTTTGTGTTCAGTTTGAGTTCATGGCCAGCTATTACGTCCCGTTCAGTATGAGCTCAGTCCGAGTTCAGTATATTCAGTCTGAGCTCCCAGCCCTTCGGTCCATGTTCAGTCTGAGTTCATGGCCAACTATCCCATCCTCCAAACCATCTTCTCAATTGTGTGCCCATTTCATCCTAGAAGCCCCCCATTCTTCTCCCTACGCTCTGAACCCCTGCCAGAAAGGCTTCCAAAGGATATCCCAATTTTCGAATCTCCCTTCCGAATGTAACCAGGCTTATCCATGTCGTTGCTTTCGTGTTCGTGTTATTTCGGATTCTCCAGATAGTCCCAGTCACCACGACCCACTTTACTCTTTTATTCCCATAGGACTCATAGTCCTTGATGGTCTTATAATGTCTGGGCCCTTCCCCCCAGATACTGTTGATATTCTTGAATCTATGCATCATGTAAATCCAAGCGGGAAGCTCTGTTACTATCAGATTTACTTCCAAAAAAGAGGCAATCCCATTTTCACCCCCTGTTTGCTCCAAGATTAGA